TCAGCCCATAATGATCAAACACTGCCCGACAAGAGAGGACCTCTCCCTCGGCTGCAAGGAACAGTGTTGCACTCTCTTCTCACATGGATCCTGGGAATTAAAACCTTTTGCACACAATTTGAAACTGTAGCATATATATAATTTTATATCCTTATATAAAAATATATTTTGCAAAACAAATCTCAACGATTGAAATCGGCTGCCGACAGTCTTGGTTTCCATCAGAGAGAGTGCATCCCCGATCATTACTTTTGTCCGGCAAAGGGGCTGATCCTGTCACTTTGATCACCCACTTAGATAAATTCTCGGATTGTCCCAACATACCCAGGTTTTGACCCCCGCTAAGGATCTCACTGATTGGCATATCAAAGACAGCCTAATCCGACACCTAGTGCAGTATCATAATCGAGTCCAGGGGTCAAGTGTAACTTTCCAGTTTTGCCCACTAATCTCCAAGGTCCCGGGCAATACTGGAAATCTGGTCCAGTTTAGGGTTTCAAGTAAACCTACACTTCATGTGCTTTGGGTCTCACCCTGGCAACTGAGACAGGCCACCCCAACACTTGGCAGCACACCAGTGTCAGCCTTAGCAAGATAAATCTCCCCAGATTTATCCAACGGCTGTGAACATTCTAAACTAACACGAGTCTCATTAAGTGTTCAATTTAAGGATATTACACAGAAACACACCACAAGAACATGAATCAAATATGCACTTTATTCTTTTACAATAAATGTCATAAGTACATCAAACTGATTGGAGCTAAGGGCATACAATTGTCTAACAAAAAGAAACCATAAGACATTATAAAAAATTGAAAAAAACTTACCTATTTTTGCCATATTTTTTCAAAATTTCAAAATTTTCAAAAAAATTAATTATTCACACTTGTTTCTTCAAATTTAAGCACTTTAGGAATGAGGTTTGGAGTTTTACAATCATTTGGGGGTGAAAGAATGCTTATTTCAGGGAAAAGAAGCTTACTTTTCCCCTTTATTTTTTTTTCAACTTTTTGTCGTATCTTTTTGGTCGATATGCTACCGATACACCCTCGATACGGTCCGATACGCATGAAAAAAAAAGTTGAGACGTCTGATTTCCGTGCGTATCCCTATCTATTTTTCAAAGATACGATACAATACGCCCCATATCGAGCGTATCGTATCGAAATTTTAAACCTTGGGTCAGGTAGCCCGGCGACCCATTGGTAGCTCAAGATAAAAAAAAAAAAGCCAGGCTTGGTATTTTGGGCCTGAGCCCGAACCTAGAGGCCTAAATTCTTATCTAAGCTTGATGACTCGTTGATAGCTCAAAATTAAAAAAATAAAAAGTCAGGCTTGAGTCTGCAAGCCTAAATTCTTGTGCAAGCCTTACCAAGAGCAAGCCAGATGGCCCAAAGACCTGATGTAGTTAGTTGGCAGCCCTTAATTAATTAATTTAGTAAAAAGTAAATAAATAAACCTGTTGATGACCCTACATATTGGGCTTAGGAGAGAAAGAGAGAAATAATATATATGTTAGTAAATAATTTAGTAAATTCAACAAATAAAAATTGATGGATAATAATTTACTTAATTTATTAAAATAAATAAATTAATTTAGTGAAATAAATAAATAAAAACTCATTTATTATTGGGATGGGAGAGGTACAGGCTATACTAACTAGATTTATTCATGGACTCAGTAGCCCAATAGTTCAACCTGACCCATTAAAAACGTTAAATTAATTAATTAAATAATTTGAGATAGCCTTTACCAATCTTGTGTTGATAATACATAAACTTCTATTTATTTATTTATTTATTTATTTTACTAAATTATTTAATTAGTTAAAAATTTAATAATCCAATAAATTATTATTGCTATCAAGTAAGACCTAGAATCATGTATATATTTATATATATTTACTCTCATTTAATTGTCTAATTATCTCATTTATTTTACTAAATTTATTTATTTATTAAATTAAATTAATTATTACTTAACTATTTACAACTATTCCATTATATAAAACAAACATACAATAACAAAACTCATATCTCTCTCATTTAATTGTCTATTTTAAATAGATATTTTTCAATAAACTTTTAATCATTCAACTCACCTCATGATTCTTAGCCCTACCGTACAGATAAGAATCCCCCAATTCACGGTGGGGGCTACTAGTAGAATTCTGTAGTGGTAGGACCCCTAGTTAGTACAGTATAATTACAAAATGTATATGTTGTGGGGTTCCTTGCCGTTTCCGCCCACAGTTCTCTCTCTCTCTCTCCATTTCTGCTTGTCTTTTGCTTTTCGTCGCCTCTTCGTTGGTCATCTTCCAGTTCTCTTAAACAAAATCTATGCACTCTCAAGAATAAGCAATCTCCCCATTAACGTTTATTCCTAAGCTATTGAATTTTTTTTTATAAGCGTCAATTTAAGTCTAAATAGTTCAGTCATCCTCGTTTCGCCCCAACTCTGGTTAAACCCAAAAAATAATAAAAATGGTGGGAGAGCGTTGGACTAGGTGATGACGATCCAACCTTACCCAAAAAAACAATAAATAAATAAATGATGAACCAACGTCACGACCTACGTAACTAAGGAAAAGAATCGACAATTGAATTGGCGGCACCCCTCTCCCCATCCCCTTTTAAATCCCGACCTCAAGTACTCCTCAGTCCTCATCACTCACCAGCAGTCAGCAGCTTGCGAACGAAAACAAACCTTCATTTTCCATCCATAACGTTTTGCTCTTTCCGACGATGCCAGGTTTGACGATCGGCGACACCCTTCCAGACCTGGAAGTGGAGACTACGCACGGGAGCTTCAAGCTTCACGACTTTGTGGGAAATGATTGGGCCATTATCTTCTCTCACCCAGGTATTTATATATGATCGATTAAACTAGTTAGAGATTATTGAATGATGGATAGATATATAGTAATCGCACGATTAGTTGTGTTTGTCTTCTGTTAAATGTTGCGAAATCAATTTTTTTTCGTTTTGGTTGGTTTTGCTATGTCCATCAGCTGATTTCACGCCGGTATGCACGACGGAGTTGGGCAAAATGGCGCTTTACGAGAAGGAATTTAACGAGAGAGGAGTGAAACTACTGGGCGTCTCTTGCGACGACATTCAATCCCACAAAGACTGGATCAAGGACATCGAAGCCTACACTGTGAGTGATCTCTTCTCTTCTCTTCTTTCTTCGGGAGAGGTTAAACATTATTGACGCTTAAGTGATCAAATGACCATTACACTTCATATACTATTCCACTGCGTTATTTCTGATTTTATATTCATTTTATTTGCTGCATTGATCATCCTGCGTGCAGCCTGGGTGCAAGGTTAAGTACCCCATCGTCGCTGATCCCAAGAAAGATATCATCAAGCAACTCAACATGGTAGACCCAGATGCCAAAGATCCCGATGGAAGCGAGGTCCCATCTCGAGCTCTGCACGTCGTTGCCCCTGACAAGAAGGTATATACCCTCTTAGAACTGAATTAATCTGTTTAATTTCCAGTTTTCCTTCTCTTCGCAGTAGTTTAAGCTCCATTCTTACTTTGATTGGGCCGATGAGTGCAGATTAAGCTGAGCATCCTCTACCCAGCAACCACTGGGCGCAACATGGAGGAAGTATTGAGGGTGGTGGATTCGTTGCAGAAGACGGCCAAGTACAAGGTGGCGACGCCGGTGAACTGGAAGCCTGGCGAGCCTGTCGTCATCTCTCCTAGCGTCTCCAACGATGAAGCCAATGTGATGTTCCCACAGGGCTACACGACCGTGGATCTCCCATCCGGAAAGGAGTACCTCCGTTTCACCAATATCTGAAGAAGATCAGGATCAAATTAATGGCTATCTTCATCTCAATAAGGCCGGCCGGCGCCTCCGAGGCTCCAACCTATCTTATATTTGATACTTGTGTACAAGTTTGTCATTTTGGTTTTGGGTGTGAACATCTCGTTCACTTGCGAACGATTAATGGTTGTAATCCGTTGTCTGTCGTATAGTTGTTGTTTCGTTGTTTTTTGAGAATTTGTCTGCATCGAACCTGTCCGTACTTCTCCCTAAAATAAATTAAAGGATAAATTGTTAAAACCTCCATCAAGTTTCGGTTGTTGCTGAATTACCGTTTGAAGTTTGGTAATTCAATTACCTCCCCTTAACTTTGCAAGTAGACCATCTTTGTCAGAATCCTATAAAATTAGGCATGAAAATATCCAAAATATTCATACAATTTCTTTTGATCAAAATGTTTAATTATTTTCCAAAATTTTTCCTCATATGAATGGCTAGTCCAAAACCATTCCAAGGTAAAGCGGCAACTATAAATTCTCTCTTTTTTCGTTGTTTATAAAATTTGTATTGTTTTTTTTTTTGGTAGAAATCAGCCTTAATAACAAATAATAATTGTATAGGTATTTTGGACATTTTGGACATTTCAATGCTTATTACAGGATTCTAATAGGGGTCTATTTCCAACTAAGTTCGGCTTCAGTCAGTGTAAAGCCCATCCGAGCAGCCTTTACTGCCTTGCATTGAGGATATCTCTGATGTGCTTTATTTCATGGGGAGATATTCCCAATGCAAGGTTGGGAAAGACTGCTAGATCGGTGTGGCACAGGCTTGCCCTGATGGAAGCCAATTTCTTTCCCACTGTGTCAAAAAGTTTAGGGAATTGATTACAATTACCAAACTTCAGGGAAGATTTCAACAAGGGCTAGAAACTTCAGGGGAAATTTCAGCAATTTACCATAAAATAAATACAAAGATTTTACTTGATTTTAGGGCTTATAGTAAAAGCATGCCTACTTTGTTTGTGCTGTAGTGTGTAAACACGAAAATATCAAGTCATTTTTAGAAGCAACCTATCATCATTTCCACACTAATTTATTAAACTAATTTCTATTATTAATTAATTTGGTACAACAACAAGGTGGGTTTGGGGAGGGTTTTGTAAATTTTTGACCTTTTTCACCTCCCTAAACTTCCCAACCTACCAACCCCAAACCCATAGTGAATTGGACTTTAAGAATACAAACCCTTTTCACACATGAAAATGCAAAATCCACCACAACCTTATCCTTTCCGCATTGAAGTGTAAGGGCGGGTTAGGTTTAGAACCTACATTTAACTTCCTATTATTTCTTGTTACATATAAGCAATAAATAAGTAAAATAACACAGTCAAACAACAAAATTTCCAATTATTTGATTAAGACATGTAAAGAACACATAAATTATCAAGAATCATCACATAAAATTCAGAATATTATTAAATTTGAAATTACCATCTAAAAAATATGCTTTTATTTGAACTAGTTGAATTTATGTCTTAATTAAACATTAGTTGGTGTAAATGGGCCCCACACCTGAGCTATGTATGTGGTAAGTTTATTTACATTTTTGTTGATGTATTTCTCAAAATAACTTATTGGGCATGTGAATGCTACAATCATGTGAGCCTGTTGATCACCCAAAAAAGTAAAAAGCATTTGGAGTCATGATTCATGTTTGAGAAGTCCAGTCTAAGCCCATGGCTAGTTACGAGCCCCTACGCATAATTAAATCATCATTTAAGCCCATTTTAACATCCAATCCATGTTTATCATGAAGATGTGATATATGAAAGCACACATCAATAAACTGCTTGTTCTTTTTATAACAATATGAAAGCACAAATATACAATAGTACAGCCTCAAATAATATTTCTCCCAAAAGTCGTCATCTAAAACCCTAGACAAAATAAAGGGAATTTGGCTTGTTTTGCTGTGCAAAATTTGGCTTCTAGTTAGTCGCATAGGCTCAGCTTGGAAGGAGTACAAATATAAATATATAGAGTGCAAAACTTTGTATTTTGTATTACTTTGTAGGTATTTGCATTGTATACATATTTGTATTTATACTCCTTCCAAATTGAGCCATAGGTACTACTTGCACTTTTTTATATTTTTTTGGTAAGAAGCAAATTCATTCATCAATACAGCAAATAGAGTTCCACTAAAAAAGATGAGGAAAAAGTATCAATCCATGACTTTAGGATGTCTGGGATTATATCAATCTATTCTCCTTTCAGCCCAGAGGGGCTAGCCAAGAGATGGGCTACACGGTTGGCCAACCTTTTTACAAATTTCTAGCAAATGGAGTAAAAACATGCAAGCTCCATCTGAATCACTTTAAGCAAAAAAACAAATCTCACTGCCCATCTCAAAGAATTTGTCCTCAAGATATTAAGCATAGGCAGGTAGTCGCAACAAATCTAAAAGTTATCGAGATTTAAAAATTTGCCAATTTTAGGATGAGAAGAATAGCCATTACTTCAGAGAAGATAGCAGAACGTGAGATGTCACTCATGGCTTTAGCAGCTAAGAAACTACCATTAGGACTTAGAATAAGCACACTACTACCAGCATAATAGTTAGAAATAAAGCTTCCATCGGTCTAGATTGAGGCAAAATGTGTGTGTGGAGTTCCGGGACCCAAGCCAACTCTGCAACTATTCCTTGTCACTGGTGGTGCACGATCTGGTGGCTCCTAGCTGGATGGTAGTTCGCCTACCTGTCCAGTTGAATTGCAAGGAAGAAGTACTCAAAGAACTCGGGGCGATTAACCTGGCATGGTCACTTCAATGCTTAAGTTAGTACTAAGTTGGTTGCAAGCTGAAAGCAAGTGAGTATGAGAGCTAGAATGCACTAAATCGCTCGTACCTGCCTACCTAGGTCTCAAGAGCTGACGCCCTTATATAGTTGGGCCTGCCATGGGTCTCATGAAACACCTCTGAGATCCTCGGCCCGCATTGTTAGTAGTCCATTCCGCCCCAAGAGGTGGATAACGTGTTTAGTTGATAAGGCCTATCGTGTCCTTCCTACCCAGGTGGGATAAGGATAAGTCTCCCGGTCGTGTGGCATGATCTCAAAGAGCTCGGAGACGGATGGCATGCTTCTAGAAGTCTGATGTATCACCTCGGTAAGTTAGGCAATCCCGAACTACCTGTACCTCGATCATTGCCGAGGTGCCCGAGACGCCTGAGGTGACTTGGTCCACCGAGGTGGTAGGTAGTGCTGAGGTGGCGGTAAATGTTGATTCACAGTCTAACTGGTAAGTCACGCCCACGTGTCCTCTGCTCACTAGGTCGGGCCAAATCACCCCTCATCAATTGCCCCCCACTCCCCGTGCCAAGGGTCTCGACCCGGTGTGGGGAGTTCATGACGAGCTCAAGTGGATTTGGCCTAGTTCCCCTCCGGGTTGATGTCCGGTCCAACGGTCAAACCATGATAACCCATCCAACTCAATCGGGAAACCAGATCGCGTGTCGGGGATGCACGAACGTCATGCAAGTTATAAACTCCGCGGATATCAAAATGCGCACACAACTGACTTCGGCCTCGGGAGGAGTACAACTGGTTTCCATGAGAGCCGTCAGATCCCCTTGATCCAAACTATCTAGGATCGACCATAGTTTCTATAAATAGGGACCTTGGGGTCCCATTCTCTTCGCCCTATATTGTGTGTTCGAATTCCTGAGGTCGCATGCCTGCTCCCAAGTCGGTGCTATCTATCCTTGTCTTCGAGCTCACCTCCTTTCTCTCTTCGGTCCTAGGTAAGTCGCCCGCTCTGTCTTACTCTCCTTGTCTGTTTTCTTTCCTTGGTTAAGTATGTCTAGCAATAGTAGCTCGGGTAGTTTTCTTGACGCAAGTAATGAATCCATCAGGGTTGAGGTAGATGCCTTGGCCCCAAACGTAGAGTCAGGTCCTGCCGAGGTAGCGATGTCAGCACATAGTTCTAAGTCCAGCCCGGCCGAGGAGGCCACTTCAGTGCAAGAGTGTCAATCTTCTGGGAAGGAAGCCTCATCATCTCACCACTCTTGGGGGCAAGATCGCTTCGATCCTTCTGTCATGACGACGGAGAGACTCCGAGCGCTAGCTGCCAACTACAAATTCCTCAATGACCACGGCTGGAGTAGCCCCTTAAAAGGGTATCCTTAGGACCATGATCACAACGGGATCGTGGTCTTTGAAGAGCAGTTAGTTGCCAGACTGCACTTCCCGCTCCACCCTTTCATTATCGAGGTCATCAAGTTCTTCAACATCGCTATAGACCAGTTCCATCCCAATTCAATTCGTACCATGGTAGGGATCATTTCCCTCTTCCACAACTACAATAGACCTTTGGCCTTAGATATCTTCAACTCGATCTGTTCTATCAAAAAAAATCCCACCTGCCTCCCTTCGGTAGAAAAGCACAGTTTTTATATCTCCCCCCGACCTAGGTACAAATTCTTGCATGATTACGCCAACAAGGTTCCAGCCTCGAAGAAACATTACTTCATCGTTACTAATGCTGGGGGGTGGCCATTTCCGACGCACTGGAGGATGACCATTAGTGACCTTGGTGTTAAGCTAGATAAGGAAATCAAGAAAGAAATCCATTCCTGGGCGAGGCTCGAGTTAAAGTTGGAAGACTTTATGACCGAGGAGAAACTAGTTAAAGCCAGGCTGAGTCCTTCGGGTAGGTCGCCACTTCGGCACGCACACACTTAGTCTTTCTTGTTTTGTTACTTCTACTAATCGAGCACTTTTTTCTTCGTAGGCATCATGGTTGATGTTCCGATCTCAAAACTGTTCACTGACATGAAGAAGAAGAAGAAGAAGAAGAAAAGGAAGATGTCCCGCACTGATACCCCAGCGGCCAAGCTCATCGCCATGCCCTCTGCACCTGCTACTTCAACAAAGGGGGAAGAAGTCTCGGTTATCAACTTGGTCGAAGAAGACCAGGGAACCAGATCGCCACTCTACAAGCCCGAGGTAGCCTAGGAATCTAAGCCCCAACCTAGTCAACCTAAGACTGCTACTTCCAGCATGATCCTCGAGGAGGGCCAGAGTATTTTCGACGCCTGGGTAGCCACTCTCAAAAGCAAGGAGATTGTCTTTCCCACCAAAGTCTCCAAGTATGTCGAGATGCCATGTTCTACGCTTGCCGCCACAGCTTGGGGTCATCTTATGGTGGTATGCTTTCGGACTCACTTCCCTATTGTTTGCGTTTTTCACTTTTCTTAAGGGTGTGCTCTTCTTGCAGATGAACTCAATGATCCACTTGCTGG